ATTTTTGTGATTATATTATATATTTTGTGATAATATTCTTAATTTGTTATACCTATATATATATATATATATATATATATATATATATATATATATATATATATATATATATATATAATGCTTCAGGAGTCAAGAGGTGAATACGTAGTTATATTTTAAAAAAATTATTTATACGTATGTTGCTGATTAATATTTTTACAATAAAATTCAGACAATGGCATTTTAAGAAACCCATAGTCAAATAAACACACACAATTATTTTTATATTGTTTTCAATCTAGCAAGGGAAGTGTTGCTTATAACGGGCATAGTTTTAATTGTTGCTTATAACGTGCTTCGTTTTTAGCAAATCAAGCTCTGATCCAATAAATTAAAAGATGGTTGCTAATGAGCAAGCTGCTATTACATCCGCAGTAAAAAACGATGAAAGAAACTATCTATGTGGTTTACGTAATCAATTTTGAAGTATCATAGAAAATTGGAACTTAAAATTATCATTCTCCTTTATTATGTTTCTCGTTCCCGGGCAGCGGGCGATGGCGAAGCGCCTGCGCTGCGTCTCCACCATCGCTTCAGTCACCCTCCCATCAAATCCTCCTTCCTCCTCGTTGCCAGACTTGCTTGTTGCCAATCCCTCTCCCTCTCCCTCTCCCTCCGCGCAAGCCCCAACGCACGCCTTCGCCCCCACCGCGACTCCCTCCGAGACCTCGTCTCAGATGGCATCTGCTTTCTCTCTTTCAGTTAACTTTGCAAGCAAAGTCTTTCCTCTCTCCACAGCAGCAATTCCGTCTCTTCTGTGGCTCGTCAATCGCCACTCACCATCCACTACCCACCATTTAGTTCCCGTCACCTGCTCACTGCCACTCACTACCCACTAGCCATCACCTAGTATCCTTTCTACCCACTTTCCTCTCCCACCTCCCACCACTCACTGCAGACCACACACTGCGCCATACCCACCACGCACTAAACGCACCATCCACGATTCATTACAACATTACAGTATTACGATTTATCATTCTCTACGCACCACCCACCACTCACTACGCACCAACCACCTCTCACTACGCACCACTGATCACGCGCCGCCTACAATGCAGCGGTCACTACAAATCCGCAACCGTTCACTCTCTCTTTGCTCGCATTCATGCCGTCACCCTTCCCCCCCACAAACCCACACACACACACCACCTATTTAACCTTCCCGTGCCCCGCTACACGTCACTCGCTGCCTAACACCCACCGCCGTCAGCCTCCCGACACTACTCTACCAGCTTCCTGTCGCTGCTGCCCGCCGCCTATCCCCGCCCCCGTCTGCGCCTGCGGCGGCGACGCGCGAGGCGGGCGGCCTGACGCGCGGATCGGCGCGTTCGCCGACGCTGTCGTCGCCCTCGCCCTCGCCCTCATCCTCGTCGACGTCCTCGTCGTCGTCGCCTGCGCAAATTTAGCGGAGAGGCGAAACTTGCGCGTTGAACTTACGTAGATTGCGACAACGTCGTGTGACGAGCTAATCGCACCCCCCCCCTCCCACGAAGTGAGGGATGGGGCTGGATGAAGCCGAGTGCCTTGTTTAGTTTACCCAGCTACCCCTCAAGTCTTACTCAGCGTATTCCTGTACTCGAGGTGTTGTTGACTTTGCGGGGAACGCAAGTAGTTCCTGCAAGTTGTTGCTACTGAGAGTCGACAGATGATTGAGCTGTGGGGGGTTGGCGGGTTTCTAAGAATTTCTCCAAGTTTCCTTGTGTCGAGTTACAAGTACATTATATTTTGTGTATCTAAGGAGAGGTGCTGTTCCAAATGTCTCGTATGTATAAGTCTGCACTTGTGTTGCTAAATAATAATGAAAACATGCACATTTTTTGCAAGTGTCTTACAATAAACATAGTAAGAAACTTTTTTCACAACTTATTTTAATCGTCTTTATAAATTAAAATTATGAGTTTCAAAAGTTTGTCTAAATTGTTTTTCTTATTAGGAGTTGTATTTCATTGAATTAAGAGTGTTGCATTAAAACTATACTCATAAGGAACTCGTTTAAGAGAAACTGTGTGAAATTGTTCTCAATAAACGTATCTACAATACGTTTTTTGAAGGTTTTTGTTAAATATTGCAACTCATTTTTTCTTGCTCTCTGATTATTGTTCTACTTTTAGACAACCTTTCAACGGCAGAGCATGCAAAGAAGTTGGAATTCTAAATGAACGTATTAGTGTACAATGCTCATATGCATTGAAGAGATGACTGATAAGATCAGGAGTGTCCCGTGATTACGGGAGCTATAAGCTTGAATCGTACACGTAATAGCGATCGTCCGTGGATCGATTCCAGTAACAGTAACAAAAGTAGGAGTAACAAAAAAGACCTCTCGTCGCATTGTGCAAACCGGGCTACTAAAAACCCTCTCCGAGGATCGTCGCTGGAGCGCATTGTCCCGCAAAGGCGCTTGCGGTGGGGAGGGCCTCCGTTGTCGCGTGAATGAGCCCGCCCGCCCGCCACCCCGATGGGCCATTGCTCATCCGACGCGGCGCCTCAATGCGCCGGGACAGCCACACCCCTATCGCTGTCGGCGCAAGACAAGGGCTCGCTTGCCCGCGCCCACGCCCACGCCATCGCCCGCGCCCGCGGACGCAGGGGAGGGCGGGACGGAGGAGACGAACGGAGAAGGGAATGACAGTTGCGGATATGAAGGTGCGGCAATGGTGTAGGTGCTGGGCTGTGGTGACGATAACGACGTGTACGGCATCGAGAACGATCAACGCTATGCAGACAATGGACATGGCGGCAGCACAAAGACGATGCAGAAGGGAACAGCAGTGCTGGATATGATAGCGTCCAAAGCAAGATGATGCTGGACCATGAAGGCGATAAGGATATGAGCGGGGCCAATGCCGAGAAATGTAAAGACGAGATACGACAAAAATGGTTTCGGGGGATAACGCAAGAGTTTGTACATCTGAAGCTGTGGTGAGCGCGATAGGTATGTAGTAGAACAGAGAATAATTTAAGAATAGGCAAACGTACCGACTTAGAATGTTCAGGAAATTGATTCTGTCACTGCATTGACTTTGACCAGAAATTCCTAGAATATGAGTCCCGACAGTGTTAAATAACTTGGACGATTTCAGCCGCTGTCTGGAGGAGAATTCTAGCGGCCGGCTGGTCAGATCGGTGGGTTTACGTGGTTTTTCCAATCATCGCCAGGCGAATGCCGGACAAGTACCCTAAGAAACATACCACTGACCGCGTGTCATATTTCCTTCCTCTCCCTTCCTCTTTCTATCCTTAGCCGCACCGTACAACACTGACATGCACTACGCTACTACACGAGCGGGAAACCGGTCGGGAGCTTAGAGCTTGACTTGGCTGGGACGGTGCCCCCCTAGTGAAAGCCGCCTGGTTAGGGGGGGGGGTGGTTGGAGAGGGGAGAACGCAAGCCGACGTGTAGGTCAGTGTCGTTTCTTGCCAATCAGTAGAAGAAGATCACTGCCACCTCTCACGATCAAAACATTCACTACTGATACGGGATTAACTACCTTAGAAGTTGCCGCATCCGAAATCACTAATCAATCAATCAATGAACATAATGAAATAGAAATAAAGAGAAAAGGGGAGGATTTGAAGTCATTATACGTTTGAGATAAGAGAGAGATGCGAGATCTGGAATGTACTGACAATAACTATGTAACTCATTGCCATTTTTTTCGAAAAGGGGACATTCAATATTCGAGCGAATAGAAGAATTAGAAGAGATGAATGAAAAGAAGGTCATCTTTATTTAGTCATCACAATATCCTAAGAATGCTCCCAACAATGTTTTCGTGTTCAATTCGCTTGATTTGAACATTGAAAAGTATTGAAATGGTAAATAAGCACTTAATGTTAAGTAGCATTATCTTCAGCAAGAAAAAAATATTTATTTCAGCAGCAGACAAAAATGTATAGATAAGACGATACTCATCATGAATATATGTAAAATAGGCGATAGGAAAAGGAAACAACAGTATTGTATGTGAAAGATGGGGTTGCATGGGAGACAACAAACTGCGAAGTGGGAGAAGGAGACGCATGGCGATAGATCTTGATCAAGGCGGAAGGCGACAAAGATAAATGGTGATGGCGGGAATATGGTTTTGGTGAGGAATTCGGCGTTTTTAGGGTGCGAGGAGATGATTACATGGGTGTATATCTGTGAACAGAGATAAAGCGGGAAGTGCAGTTCTGTGGCATGGAAATGGTGTTGGAAGGTGAAGAGTAGGCTATAAAAATAACTGTAAGAACGTAACGCCAAGCAGGTGTGGTGATGAAAAGGCGCGAGTATGCATTCCAAAATAATTCTAAACAAAAACAAAGATACTGAGGCAATAACGGTTTTTTTGAGGACGTTCCTTGAAGGTGAAAGGTCCTCAGAAGGAAGTGTACGGATCAGAGAAGGAACGGTGAGTGGCGAACGGATATGAATCCTAATCTGTAGAAGGGGTAATATAAGGTGGTGGGAATCCATTGGATAATAGTTGCGTAACCATAAAGGAATGAGAATCGAGGGCCTGACGTTAGAAACGCTGACGATAGTCAGGAGGATAATATAAGGTGTTGGTATGCAGTAGATAATGATAGTAATTGAACATAAGGGAATTGGAGTAGAAGGTGTGACGTCAGAAGCGCTGAGAGTATCCAGGAGGGTAAAATAAGGTGGCGGGAATGCAGTGAATAATAGTTACGTGAACACAAGAAAATTGAAATGGAGTGTGACGTCAGAAACGCTGTGGGTAGCCAGCCGGGTAATACAAGATAGTGTGCATGTAGGCGATGATAGTCACTTGACCCCAAGCGAATGAGAATCGAGGGGGCGGCGGCGAGGCCAGCCAAGAGCCGGAGGGAGGCGCAGCTGTGATGTGGGGACGGCGGCGGAGCGGCGCCGCGCCGTTCCTCGCCGGTGCATAGCATTGTGGGTTTTCAACCGGTTAATTCACGGCTTTGTCATGATGTCAGGTGGCTAATAGATGGGCCTGCTAATTTCAGCGTGCGTCGCGTCCGCCGCCCGGGCCCGCCCGCTGATGTATGGCTTCGGCTGTGAAATGATGACTGCGCCCGACGCGCGCTCAGTGCGTTTGGCGCGACGCGACGCGTCGTTGCATTCGAGATTTCATCGGCGAATGGAGGGGGAGGGAGAGAGCGACAGAGAGGCGGACAATAGGAGAGAGAGAGAGAGAGGGGGAGAGAGAGAGGGAGAGAGAGAGGGAGAGAGAGAAAGAGGGAGGGGCGGGTGAAGCGCTGGGCAATTCCGCGAGCAGTGGAAGCAAAAAAGAGCCATACGAAAGAACAAGACAATAGCACCCTTCGCTGATCCAAATGTGGGCCGTTGTTGGAATTTTCTGGAAGTTGTTTTGTGTTGGGGGAAATAGATTTCTTTCTGAGGAATGATGGTAATTGGATGTTTGTTCATCTTTTTGTTGAAAAAAGACTAAATCTTCATGATGTACATAAAATTACGAATCTTTCTACGGCTTGATTATGAGAGGATTTGGAATTGTTTTATTTCACTTCTTCCTTTTCTTTATTATTCTTTGATACTGATCGCAAGTTTATTTAAATAATTTGATGTCGTATATTTTAGATGAAAACTTCTTCATAATTTTGTTACTTGATACAACTCCGATAATATAATGCTTTCAATAGAAATATTCAGATGAGAAATTAAATTTTGTTAAAATTTCCGTTTTGTTCGTTGTAATCTGAAATGATGTCACATTAGCTATTTATGTGTGCGTATCTGGAAATTACTATCAGTAGTGTTAAACCAGAGGAATAATGAGCTTTGATATATGTAGTATATATGAAAATTACGAGGAAGATTATCACAACAGTAAAACCATTTTGGTAGATTGGTCCCTAAGGAGCCTTTATTCAAACTTTCCCATCCACATTTCGAGTTTTGTGAATAAACATTTTGCATATAAATTGTAGAAATTGAAATGAACCACTAAACTCTTAATTTGAAATTTAGTTTAGATGGATACTACATATTGCGGATGTGATTAAATATTGGCGAGAGCAACTTTTCCTGTTTACAGAAGGCATGAACCCACGCTACCATCCATCTGGCAACAGCAATGGAATGTAAAGAGATATGTCGAAGTTGTTAGTAAAAAGTTCGGAGGCCCATTTTCGCTTACGTAATCGGTTAGAAAATGAATAAAATGAAAGCGGATATAGTGAAAGAATGAAATTTAAAAATAGAATTGTCTTACCACTGACGCTTGAGAGTTCTCAAACCTACTTACTACTAGAAAGAGACATGTGGACAAAAATGTAGCCTGACAAGGGAAAAGACTTCAAATACATTATTTCAAGCTGGTGAAAGTTTTAAAAGTTTTATGTGGGCTACATTTTCAAAGAAACTGATAATGTTTTCTTACTCGTTAAATTCATTGCTTTTGAATGAAAAATTTAATTTTATGAGCTGTTTGCACAGTTATTTCAATAATTATTGAAATTATTATAATAGATGCCTCGGTTTTGGTAATTAGACTTTATTGCATCTAAAATTTAGCTCAATTAATTCATACGTTACCGGTTGTCGAGTTTTCCCACATATTTTTAAACATGATTCATGAGTAATCTCAGTTCTATGGGTGAACGACATATATAACAGATTTGAGTAAAACGTTGCAAAAACAGTTTTACGCGAAAAAGACTTAACGAATGACATATATAACATGTTCATCCTGATATTTAAAACTTAACCCTTTGCAAAATAAATAGTACGTTTGAAATGAAAAATTACAAAAACAGTTAAATTCTTCTTTAATTATATTTTACAAGAAAAAATGGAACTAAAATAATTCACACGGCATTAACGATATTTTATATAGTGTAGAAAGAATCGTTCCTTCGTCGCTTGTGATATAATACCTTCCTCTTGTTGGTTAATTATATAAATATGTTAGTCTTGTACAAAAGCTTTCTATGTATTTACCGCCATCTTGTTTCACAACCCACTCCTTCCCATGACGCTCTTGACAGAGCTTTTTTTGTTCCAACTCCACATTAACTGCAACAATCTCGTCGACAGGAGCTCTGTGTATCGCGGGCAGGAGCAAGAGGGAGTGGTATCGGGAGAGCAATGAGTACTTCAGTATCACCACGGACTAGGAGAAGCTATGCAAGTACATGCTCACAACCGGCGTGTACAGCCGAGGTCGCTGAGGTTGAAGGTCCGTGGCTGCTTTGGCTTGAAGGATCGCGGGTTTGAGTCCCACTCCAGGCGCGATGTTTGTGTGTATACATACGCTTGTTCTGCTACCGTTACCCTAAAGTTATGAAAGCAATGTCGAATTAAAGTGGTCACTGTATGAGCGTAGAAGTTGAAAAGTGACCTTAAATAAATTAAAAAGACTAAGAATAACACAAAATGTTACTTGAATCGACCAGCGGCGGGCACAACCTCTTTCTCGGCGCTCGGGTATGCCCCGGAGGGCAGAATTGCGAGCCACGATGGCAGCGATAGCTGTCTAGCGTCAAGGGAGAGTTTGCGTGATCATTAAGTTTTCCATTGAATGAAAGTAAGAAAGAAGACCTTGACTATTCAGGAGTAAACTTTGGTTAATTTAGTTCGCGTCGGTTCTCCGGGCGTAAACTGGTCGTGAAAAAGCGATACTAAAAGCATCACGATATGCACATTGTATTTACCGCGAGAGAACTCGATTAATCGCCTACCACCCGGACGCCCAAGGCCATGTTCTTGTTTCTGCTGGTACTGACTGAGCGCTAAAATCGCATTATCAATTGTTTTAATAAAATTCAACTTATTGATGCCTCATTTTACGTGGCCAGACTCGGAGCATGAAGCCAGCTATTCGTCTGACCACGTAACTTTTGGTACGCTCATTTCGCATGCATCACTCGGACGACGAATCAGACGATTTGAATTTAGCGCAGATGATTCCTTATGACTTCAGTATCCTTTGCATGCAGTAGGTCATCACGAGACAGCTTACTCACCAAGAAAAGGCGAACTAAGAATTTTGTCGCCCTACAAAACCACACGTCTTCGATGGTCGATTATGGAACCTGGGTATAATTTTTTGACTTCAAACCGTTTTATCACCACAGCCAAAACTTCTAACGAGATTTGAAATAGAAAAGAACTCGTACTTTACTCTCCAGAATACATTGTAGGAGTAAATCACACATTCTCTAGACCACTCCTGGCACACCCGAACGTTGAGAAGCCATGCTAACCCGCACGGGGCGAGACCAAGACTAACACGGCGTGTAACCTGTATTTACTGCGCGCGAACTCGCCTGCCTCCCCCTCCGCTTCCGCTTCCGCGCGGGCGGGCGAGCCGCCTTCGGCCGGCGGCCCCGAGCTGCTGCAGCGGCCGCGCGCCCGCGCGTGTGTGGCGCCCTCCGCCCTGATGGCAAATTCGTGTCGCGCAGCGGCCCCGCCGCCATCGCCGCCGATGTATCGGATGGCTCCGGGCGGGAGCGGCCCACGATATGACCGTCGCGCCCGCGCCGCGCCTAATTCGATTTTTGCCCCATTTGGAGGCGCGCCCTCGCCCTCGCCCGCGCCCGCGCCTTGAAAACTTCAGTCGGAGGGTCGAATGTTAAACGTGGATGTGCTCGCGGAATGTGGGAACGCGAAAGATTGCCGTCTAGAAGCTTAGGAGTTACTGTTGCGGAGAATTTTTTGCTTCAGTTACGTGCTTGTAGATGTACTTCTATTTTTAAAAGATATTCTATTTACGATTATGTGGTTACCAATAATATAACAGTCAGGTAATTCGGTGCACATATGTAGTTCTGCATGAAAAATGAAATAGTGTTTTTGGAGTGTTTCTTAAAGATTTAATTTTTATTGTTCTTCTGCTTACTTTAAGTTCCAGAAGTTTCAATTAAAATCCGTAGTGTAGTAAATTAAACTACTTAATATGGACCTGCATTAATATTGTGAAGCAGCCTTAAATTAATATTCAAATGAATATGATTATTGGATATCAATCTTCAAATAAATATCGCACTTTTACTTTGACGTTTTGGTTTAAGAGATATCCAAATAATTTTCAGGCAACAATGTTTGCAGTACTTGTTTTTAGAATATAACTACACAAATTACAATAAAAATAACTTTATACTATTGAAGTTTTCCTTTCATATCCTTCCCTCGTGTACCATAAAAGCACGCCTGAGTGTCACTTGAGTATATCATAAGAAAATATTCATTGCTCTAAAAAGGTAAATCTGACAGTGGAAACAACTATTGATGGACAGTGATCAGTATAAGAAATACAGTATTTTAGTAAAACTTCTTACTCCTCATAGGAAAAGTTTCTCAGAAATGTAACAAAGTGTAAAAATTTGGCCGACTAAGTATTGTGTTTTCATACTTCATCGTTTTTGTGCTTCGTTTTAGGGAATATCTAAAACATTTTTGTCACTCAATATGAGTATTCCTGATTTCTCCGACCATAACTCACCATTTTATCTGATTTTGTACGTGTCAAAGAAACTGAAACGTCACATTAGCATTCTTATAATTTTTCAAGTTCAATTACGTTACATTTTCTTTTAAAAAATATTAATAAGTTCAACGCTGTTCCTTGAGCAACCGATAAATTTTTTTTCTCGGAATAGTGTCGTGATTTATGGCTTCTGTACAGTTTTCCTCATTTATCGTGTGATGAAAGTGGAATGTTCCTCCGGTCGTCTTCAGTTACGCTTTATATATCTTCCTTTAACGTCTATAGACATTTACTTCAGACTAAGGTAAACAGAGTGAGTAAGGTTTTTCTTCCTTGTGAGGCAATAGACCGCAGGATTTACTACAGTCTTGCCCTGGGTGAGAAGTAGCTTCTGTACAACTCGTGTGTTCTTTCGTCACAATATACTGTTTCAGAGAACGATGTTGGAGAAGTGAGTAGTTCAAACTCTCCCTTGCGTCCATTCCTGGCACTAAAACTCCCTGGCGCCTGCAACTAGTGTACTCTGACGAAACTTTGTTTTGATACCTCCCTAGAGAACACAACAAAAGGGAAACACTGACTAAGGAAGTTAAAAAGAAGCGTTGTTGAATCTGAAAGTACAAACGCAGTAAAACGAT